CACTATAATCCATCACAGCCCAGAGATCCTTGAGGCTACGCTAATAAAGCAATTCCAACAGCTCATTATCGATCCATGTCGCCGGCTACCCTCTGATAGCTGGTTGGCGCTTCCTCGACTCATTGTCATTGATGGGCTGGATGAGTGTATTGACATCATTTCTCAGGAGCGACTACTGTCCATCCTAAAGCAGCTAAAAACTAGTTCAAACCCCCTTCCCATCGAATTCTTGATATGTTGTAGACCTGAGCCTCGTATTCTTCATACATTCAATGATTTCGATTTTCACACTGTGCTTGACCGTATTGAACTCTGCGACAATTTCGAGTCGGACTCGGATATTGCCCACTATCTACAAGATGAGTTCCAGAGAATACGGCGCGATCATGGTCCCGCTATGGCTCATGTATCACAGTCCTGGCCTGGAAAGGATATTATTCACCAACTTGTGCAGCGAGCATGCGGCCAGTTCATCTATGCGAAAACCGTGATCAAGTATGTTGGGGACTACTACTGCTTGCCCACAGAACAGCTAGACATTATTCTGAACATCACCGTTCCTGACACGCACGAGTCACCGTATCCAGACTTGGATCTGTTATATCTGCAGATTCTAGCAACATCTAGGGAGAAGGAGTTACTTCTCGATATCCTTGTGTTCGTTCTGCGACCAAGGGAATACACCGGTCTGGACCGTTCAGCATCATATTCTGACATTGAACTTTTCCTTTTCCTTCCAAAAGGGAAACTGGCCACGTTGCTTTTTGGATTGCATTCGATTCTGGAGATTCCAGAGGATATACACAGTCCCATCAGTATACGACACTCATCGTTTGAAGATTTTCTGGTCGACCCCAAACGGTCGGATATGTATTTCGTGGACATAAATGAGCGAATAACACTATGTTTCTTAGAGAACGTTCACCGTGTCATCAACACTCAATAGTGAGTATGTTGGCTACTGACATCCAGGTAGATGATAACATTTTTTTAGCCCCCCGATCCGTGTATCTCTGTTAAGGTTGGGGGGTTTGGTTTGCTCTCGTGTGAAATCCCCAAGTGAAAAACTGCTCTCTGCATTGGAGCGGTTTCGCGTCGACCTGAGGAAGTTATCAGACAAATCCTATTCGGATAATGTACTCGAAAGGTACTTGTTTCGGGGGCTAGATGCAATTGTTCAATGGACAAAGGTTTGTTTGATCCTTCGTTGATTTGAATGGATGGACAGTAAATTCTTATTCTAGGACCTTTCCAAATCACCCAAACAGGAGGTGAATCAAGTACGACTACAAGTGTTAGCTGAGGAGTTTGGTAATATATTACAGGAATGGGTACCAGTTAATTCTCCTATCTCTTCTGCGCCTTCCATGATCGAGTGGGTAGATTTTGGCATCGCCGAAATGTCAGGATGGCCGATGATAGAACAAATCTGAAGCTTTATAGAAGTAGAAAAAAATCACATTTGTTTCCAGAGAGCACCTACAAAGAATTTAGAATTGTCTGGCCAAGAAAAAAAAGCACATATACAAGAAAAGGAAAGTAGCAAAGTGTTCAATAATAACCCGATCTCTAAAAGATTTATAGAACGCGAAAAGAAATAAGATAGTATGTAGGGAAATACCGTGTACGTATAGAATGAGAATCGGGAGGCGGTAAACAAAACAAGTAGGTAAATAAAAACAAGAAAGGAAAAACATACATAAAAAGCAAGGCGAAAAAGAGAGAGCGAACGCCCAAAATAAATGATAAAATGAATCATACAATATTGCAACATAACCATCGTACACGAATCTTCTTTCTTTCTTCAATCTTCCCTTTAAATTCTATTTGTATATTGTACCTCGCCGGGTGTCGCTTTTGGTTTCAGTTTTCCAGTTCGAGTTGTTTTGGTTTTCTGCTCTCTCATTCCTCCGCATGCGTCAAAGGATCAACACATATAATTCCATCCCTCTCACTCCAGGGGTATCCCCACCGGTGGATCCACTCCCTCACACCGGTAGCCAACCGTACCCTCCCTGCACCCCTCCCCACATCCTGCGTCCCAGTATGTTTCTGCTCACCCACGATAACATACGCAAGCCCATAGAAAAACTCAGCCTCGAGCTACAAGAAAATAAACAAACGACTCAAACAAAACAAAAACAAAACCACCCACCGCAAGCAAAAACTCTTCCAGAACCTCCGTCGCCTCATTCGCATGCAACCCATGCAAATCCAGCGCAACCTCCGTTCTCTCCTCCACGCTCAACTTCCCATCCCCTGTACCATTCCCCGCAACCCCCAGTACGACTCCCAGGCCCGCCCCAGCCAACTTGCCCCTCGCGCCTCTATCAGCGGGATCATCCGACCATCCCAGATCCCGTGCCCTCACAGCAGATAATGCGTCCCTCGCCCTCTCCCGCACGAGTTCCCCCGCAGCCCTCTTCATCTCCGCCGACATCTTCCCATTCAACTCATGTCCCTCCCTGCTGAATCGTTTGGCGGAGGCGCCGTCACCACGTCGCCAGGCATCGGCAGCACGCGATAAACACGCATTGCGCGCCTGTCCCAGTTGAAGCGCGCGCGAACGGTAAGTCATGTACAAATTGTTCAGCGTTTCTCCAGTTACCAGCGTTGGCAGGAGCGCAGGGGGCGTAGACGGAGACGGGGTGAAGCTCGGGGTGCGATTATGGCGGAACGATGATGGAGGTCTGCCGCAGCGGATGTACCTAGTGCTTCACGTCTCGCCGCAGTTTCGCCGTTGGCACCAACGGTGCCCGGGACCATCGAGGTCAATCCAAGACTAGAGGACGCCTGGGAGGCTTCTTCACCGCCGTTGCGAATCGTGTTCTTCCGGCATCAGCACCAGGCGCGTAGTTCCGTTTGTTATTGCTCTTCAACCCGCCCCCTGCAACATCGTTCAAGCCGTTCGTCTGTCCCAGCACCGGAAAGTCGTCAAGAGGAGGATTATGCCCATTCTGCGGATGATGGTGGTTGTTATAATTTGGATTCGGATTGATATTCGCGCGAGCAAGGATAGCGCCCAGACCCTGGACGTCCACGTCTTTCGGCAGATGATGCAGAAACTCGCAGCTTTCGCCTTTGGCACAAGTGCCTCGAAGCCAGAAACGACATAGTGCTCGTTCTAGGTCGTGGCTAAAGCGGCAGTCAGCTCTAAGACACTCGCCTGCGACAAAGTATCGACAGACACGGTTGCCTCCGGCGGCTGGGCGGCCATTGGCACCAAATCGCGCGTTGGGAATCGGATTAGGGCGATTTGGGGGCCCAGCTATGGGAAAACCACCACGGGAGACGAGTGTGACTCTGCCTCCCATAGGTTGCATTCGCTGAGGTGTTACACCAGGCTGTTGTTGTTGCGGTAGGGTACGATCAACTAACCAAGCCATGGAACGCTCAAAGTCGTACGAATTTTCTGCTAGTGCCTCTTCGAGTTCGGATGGGGCAAGCGTCGACCCAAACACGGAACTGAGAACATCGAAAGGAGTCATTCCATTGGTCAGAAACGCAGCATCTGTTTCGGGATCGCCATCGCTGTTTGCCATGCCAGACATTCCAAGCGCATCCTCGGAGCCTTCAGAAGGTAGATATGGAGGAGTAAACTCAAATGCGTATGGATTGAGGGATTGGTTAATGCTGCTGTACTCTGGTTCCCACTGACTAGTATCGAAATCGGATACCTGAAAGGATGGTGGATGATCGTTGTTGTTGGGACCAAACGGATCAAATGGGTCATCATCGTCGTCGTCCCCGGTATCGTTACGCAGGGGAGAGCGAACGGGAGTTGTTGAACGAGAAAGATTAGGCTGATCCGGTAAAAGTGGCGCAGCAATAGCTAGATTAGAAGTTGCTCGAAAGGGACTGTGAGCCCACAGATCAGGGGATTCTGATCTTCCTGGGCCTGGATTGGACGAAGCTGCGGAGAGAGGGCGGGGAATGGGTTTAAACTCTGAAGCTTTTGCGTTCAGCAAGCGTGGTGACGACAAGGGAGAAGCTGGAAGACTCGCAGTGAATTGAGCATGGATATGAGTAGCATGCGCATGAGAGAGAATGGGAGAGGAAGTGGGAGAGGCGGAGTACTCGCTGCGAGCAGACATGTAAGACGAAGCGTGGCCACCACTTAACGGAGATGTCAGCAACGGTCGGCGAAAGATTTGAGCCAACGGAGAACTAGGTGCCGAGCTCGAAGTTTCTGGCCGTGACGACGGAAGCCGAGCTGAGGGCGTTGAGGCTCGCGACGAGGGCCGCGAGATCGGTCTTCGAGTTGGGGTCAGAAACAAGAACGGAACGCCAGCTACATCGTCACGGTGCTTGTGCATAAGGTCCAGGACATTATGTTCAACCTGTTCATTGTTGATTGTAGCGATTTTTCTTTGGAATGAAAGAGTACACACCGTTTGATCATCCATTCCATAGGTGTCTTTCATCAGCTCTTTAAGCTCGTCTTCACGTTCATCGACGAGCAAGCTGACAACACGGGTTAAAAACGCAGATGGAACCTTTGCTAGCTCATCTCCCCCTTCAGCGTCGCTGTCGTAGCTGTCTGAAGCCTTGTATTGTCGAGAAAAGGCAGCAAGCTGAGCTCGCGTGTGGGGAAATTTATGCGTTGATGTCTGTGGTATAAACGCTGCGTCCGTGTTGGAGAGAGGCTCCGAGTCTGGCAGGAGGGCCAGAGACATTTTACACGCAAAAGAGGGAGAAAAAAACAAGAAACGGGAGTTTGGGTTTATAGAGAAGCAAGGGTCAACTAAGCAGTGATGATGCCATCATCGGGCGCTAAACCGTGACCAACTCAAGCTCTTTGCATCTTCGCTTCAATTCTACAAAGTACTGTAACTGGCTTTGGCCACTGCAACCCATATAGGCAGCCGCCTTGGACCATATTATGATACTAGGGAGGTCACTGGACGATTGCTTCCTGGCTTCAAATGACGAAACTTTCATTTAGCGGCTATTGAATGACACAAGTTGGATGTGTGCAGGTTCTATGTACTATCTGGCATGGCCGACTAGCTCAGCTGGTTAGAGCGTCGTGCTAATATTGCACTACTCCTAGTGTGGTTAACGCGAAGGTCTTGGGTTCGATCCCCACGTTGGCCATAGATTATTTACTGATTTTTTTCTTTTTCTGTTACAAGTCGAAACCCAGCCAGTTGCGCGTCAGAGTTATTCGTAGAGAGGAGTTCGTCGACAAACTGAAGTCCGGACATTCAACAGTTTAACGTTCACCACGATGATCAATCCTGGATCAATACTCCTGGAATCACTCGTGCTATGATGTACTTTCTGCACTAGTTGATGAAGCTCGATCAAAGATGTCAGCGAAGCTGAGGAAGTAAATATCAACTCACGACTAGGCAGCAGGGACTGGTTAACGTTCGAGTCTATCAGAATCATTTATCAGTCTGGTTAGGCAATAAACTTGTATAACACATCGGATGTCATATGCATGTACAAGTTGATGTTCCCTCTTATTTTTCTTTCGAAGATATATCTGGCAATCACGACTGGTTCTGAACGTTCGAACTTATCGACCAAGTAGCCAATATAACTCTGCTTAATATTCGCACGAAAGATAGACTCCAAACTCTAGCTTTGCAGGTCCCACTGAGAGATAAAGAAAAATGACATTGCCAGTACTATAATCCAGAGGGAGAGGGAGCGTAAGAGGAGAGGGGGCCAACTGGCAATTATGGACTTGAGGGAACGGATCCGTCCGATATATCTACTTTCTTAATCTTATAAAAGAAATAAGGAAAAATAGCAGGGTAGAGCAGTCGAGAACCGCATGGAAACGAAATGAGAGCAGACATGAAACGACTCGGAATGATAGCGAGGCAAGTACGCATAAGGATTAAACATTCCACCTTTTAGAACATTCCTCCACCAAACCCAGTCATCGCTGGTGCCATACCATTCATAGGAGGAACCTGCCCCGCATACCCGTTCGTCAGTAGCAGCGTATTCATGCCGGGGTTGATGATGGGTGCATCAGACTCCGCTCTTTCTTTTGCCGACTCTTTCTTCGAATACTCTTTCACCTCCTTCTCCAACTGCCGTAACTATTTCGACCATGGTTAGTTTTTCATCAATATTAGAAAGTTAAAACCCACCTTATCAACAAGTGTTCTCGAATTCTGAATCTTATATGGCATATAGAAATCGTTTAACCCATGTTGCCACGACAGCTCCTCCACGACGTCCTGGCTGAGCAAATCGAAACATACATAAAGCATCGCTGCGAAGCATTCCTTGTTTCCAATGTCCACAAAGTACCCGAGAAGGTCCTCCGCAACTTCTGGGGTAGCAGATGTCGCAGCAGTGATCATGGCATCTCTGTACAACTTGTCTTGCTTCGAAAGCGATATTGATTCATCCCAGCGTTTGTTTTTCTATTGTTCAAAATAATTGTCACTCGGCGGTAACATCGACAGGACTTGAACCTACCTTGTACAAGTGCGCAGCTAGTCGACGGAACTCTAGCAGCGGATGTTTCTCTAACCGTTGAGCAAGGCCGACGTTGTTGAAGTTGTCGAAGCTGTCAATGCTGTCCCGTAGAGTCTTATAATCTTCCTCCTCGATTAACAAATCATTATAAGCATCGTTAACCGCTTCGACGTTGAGCTGTGACAATACGATGAGATGCGACTCGAAAAACATTGAGCGAGCTCATGCTTACATGCTGGACAGCGATCAGGTATGCCCTGATTAAGGGAATGTGATCGCTCTTGCGGAACATGGCAACGACACGAGGATGATCGATACGGGGGATCAAGACGGTAAGCAAATCCGTAAGTAATGTAGGTTGTTCCCGGAGGTAGAATGAAAGAGCCTTGAAGTATCTGCAGATACCTATGATGAGGAAACGCCTTATTCAGAGCGAAAAGAAGCTTACATTTCAGGGTTGGCAGCTCGAACAATGGTATCCTTGAACTGGTTGTGTTCCCAAGCGTCAGCTGAACGCTCAATCATAGCCAAAGCAGCATTGTCCTAAAAAAAAAAAAAAAAAAAAACCAAGTCAGGCGGTACAATGAAAAGCCATGCATTCCACTTACAAATTCATCATATTTGATGTACAGGAAGACCAGTTCAGGCCAGAGATGTGCTTTCTCGACAGCCCGAATAACCTTGGGAATGTTGATACGAGCAACGAAGAGACGCAAGTGCTCCATGACTGATAGAAAAGAATGTTAAAGTGAAAATACAAAGAACAATTTCAACTCACGTTTAGTGGGCTTATACTTGCTGAGCAGAATAGCCAACTCGGTGAAGATACCCATGTGCGCGCGCTCCAGACTAAGGCCAGCTTCCAACAAGTTAATGATCTCATCAAAGTAACCGCGACGTTCATATAGAACAACCAGAGCACTGAGCTCTTCCGCATGCACGATAATATTGAGACCACAGATTTGTGCCTAAATTGTAAGTCAGTAACTAGGCCGCAATCTCAAGAAAAGGAAAACAATTACCAAGCGGAACTCCTGCTTCTCGATACAGGCCGCGTGAACCTGCTTCCAGACCCTAAAAGCCATATCAGGTTTGGTTACCTTTCACAAAAATTCATAAACTCACTGTGTATTTCCAGCCTTTCGAGCACTTTCGACGGCCGCTTGGTTCTCTCCAAGGTAGATCAGGGTTGTAGCCAATCGAGCCCAGTTCGAGATGCTTTGGAACAGTAGCTTGGCAGCCTGATACAACTCAACATCAAAGCATCGTTCTCCGACTTCCAAAATGTCCGCAACGTTAGTCATACCCAAAAAGTCTTCCATATCGTGCAGACGATCCGTTCTCGCATAAGCAAATGCGAGTTCAGTATCAATCTTCGGTTCACGAAGGGATTTCCTAGACATCTGCAAGTAACGAACAAGGTCATCGTGTTTCCCTGCACGGTCCGAAATCTCTATAACTTCGGCAAAGTTAGAAGGATCCTCGGCCTTGATGTAGGAGTCGATAGAGTCCTTTATACGAAGACCATCCAACTGAGCCTTGGCAAGCCGGCTCCAGACCTCAGGTTGGTTGACCTTGTTCGCGTATTCGACACCGCGGTCAAGAGAGACAATGTGCTCAACAAGGACCGTCATGGCCATCGCATGCTGATCGTACTTCTTATAGATCATAAGAGCCTCCTCGAATAATCCGTGTTCGGTCGCGATCTTGGCAATCTCCTGGAAGTCGTAGTTCTGGAGCTTGTTGATATAACCAACGACCTTGCCCTTGTCCGCCCGGATAGCAGTCAAAAGAAGTAAGTTTTGCAGGTTCTTGTTCTCGCTGAATGGAGATGGCTCAATAATGATCTTCTCCAGCAGCTCGATGAGCTCAATAGGAAGGTCAGCGGTCAAGAAGGCCTTTACAGTGACCGAGACATCATCGGGATCTGTAGACTCGGGAAGTGCAGTTGCGACGATCTAGATGCGCGATTAGCAGGCGACAAGATATAGATGAACAACACTCTCACCTGGTCAATCAAAGCGCGACGGTGAATATTTTCCGGAACGAGAACCTGGGCCCAAAGCTCAGGCTGGCGACGCTTGACGAGATAACGAGCCTGCTGCTTGAACATCGAGTTTTCGTTGGTAATGCCGATGAGCTCATCATCACAGAATCCTTTCGCGTAGGCGATGTATGCGAGGTAAGGATCCCGCTTCTCGCAGAATTTTCCTACCACAAGGGGCTCATAAAGCTACAGGAGTTGCGTCAAATTTTACACACAAGCAGATATAGAGCACATACATTGTTCTCTTTCAAGAAAGCTTCAGGGTTGTTGTTGCTGTCGATGTAAATCTTGGCCATCGCGTTGTAAACTGCAGCGTCCTGGCTACCACTCTGCACCCGTGCCTCCAGCCAAGGAAGAATTAACTTCAGCCTGTTACGCTGTTCGACCTCATGCACCAGCTCGTCGATAGGGAAGTTACCGGTAACCGATGCAAGGAGAGCCTTGATAGTATTTTCATCACAGTCAACATCCAACAAACCACCAACAACCTGGGGGGTCCGGATGGAATTGACTCTCTGGACATAAACCTCAATGAACTTGGTAAGGTTGTTCTGATACAGGTAGAGCACAAGGTCGTGAACAAAGTCGAAGCGATCGCAAACGATGATCAGAGGAAGCTGGTCAGAGAGCTTGGCTTCCTTCAAGAAGTTCTTGACCTTCTCCGGGTTGTAGAAGTTACTTTCTCTACAGATACGCTCAACTTCGCGGATTTGGCCGGTCCTGGTTGCAGCCTGAATGTACTTGAAGTGCACCTCAGAGTCTTGGCTCAGGTTGACGATGGAGCCAAGGTAGTAATAGAGACCTAGGCAGAGGTATGTGAGCAAGCGTGCACCATGTAGACTTCTGAACCGTACCTTCGAAGGACTTGAAGCTCTCGAACATCTCAATCAGTTTGACAGGACCGAGAATATCCGAGTACTTGGTAGCAATCTGGATGACCACTTGGAGGTTCTGGCGTATGTTGACTCGGAGCATCTCTTGGAGGCATGCCATTGACTGCTCGGTGGTCAAGCGACTGAAGTAGGTGATAAGCCACTATACATAGGGGGAACATCAGATATCAGCGTTCAGTCGGGCTGAAGAAAGACCTACATCAGCCGGGAAAGTAGTAGCATGAACTATAACGCGTTTGATATCTGCCAAATCCTCATAGTGCTCAAGTGCCTAGAAAAATAGTTAGCTACAGCTTCTGAACTGAAAAGAACAAAGCTCATACCCTCTGCATCAAACCAGCCTTTTCGCAAAGGTTAGCGATACGTGGCCGATCGTAGTGTGTGAACATTTCATTTCCGAGGATAGCATCTGCGACTTGCGGTGCGTGCATGAGGTTCATCTCGAGGAGACGTGTCTGAAGAGGACCCTGCTCAAGTTTGTTGTCCTTCAAGGCATCGAGGAGGAAAGACGTGGCGGGTTGAATCATATTCTGGGACATGAAGATGTCAACGACGCGTTCTACATCAACCAAAGGTCCCATTTCATCGTTCACAAGCTGGGACGCGAATTCAGCACCCTTCTCGGGGTTAACCCGCATGATGTGCTGGAGAAGGGCCACGTAGTCTGGACTATAGCCTACTTTCTTCGCATACAAAACAATCTTCTCGGTTTG